ACACAACACTTAGGGGACAATGAGCTTCTGTTAAGGGTAATGGAAAAAGTTGGGAACAGTTAATAGTGATGGTTGAATGACACGATGAACATATTTAATATCACTGAACTGTACATGTGAAGATTGTTGAAATGACAAATGTTGTGTTACCTATATATTTTCCACACAAACACACACACACACACACACACACACACACACACACACACAAAGATATATATATTTGTATATTATATATACAAATCTGACCAAGGGACTCCCCTATTTAAAATCTTACAGTTCGGCCCATGAGATTAACTGCTACTGGAATTATCTTCCTACATAAACAGCAAGAAAAGCAGGCAAAATATATAAAACAACAGTTTTCAAACAACAGGAAAGAGGCAGCATAGTATTACAATCTCTCAGAAGTATAACAAATGAGATGATCCCTATAATTGCCCCAGCTTACTGTCTAGAAGCAGTTTCATGCCACAGCACAGAGAAGAAGAATCCAAACTAAGCCTAGTTGTCCTACTGAGTCGAGCGACAGAGACTGCAGTTCTGGGAGGTTGAGGCAGCTAGGAATTGCAGGGAAGAACATCAGAGAGAAGGGAACTGCACAGAGATTAGCAGAGGGATCCTCTCAAGTCTTGGCTGAGTACTGATCTGCATATGCATGGGAGGAAACTAACCTGTGGCCAGGGAAAGAACCACTGGAAAACAGTAGGCCAAATAATTCCCAAAGCTCACACATGAGAGAAGAGTCTATATTCCTATCAGCAAAAGTAGAAAATATATGCGGCATCAGGTAGAGTCCTCAGAAGGGTTACACCTTAGTAGTGAGATTCACGTAGCCCTAGAGCAAAAACCACTTTGGAACCATCACCATAACAAAGCTTAAAAGCAAGTCTTGAAAGAATCAAACCAATCCACAAGTAATTTAACAGTATCCCAGAACAAAATCTAACACTCCTTAAAGGAATATAACAAAACTAGCACCCAACAATGCTCAGCATACAATCAAAACTTACCAGGTAAGAAAGAAAAGCAGGAAACTATGACCTATAACCAGGAGATAAATCAATCAATAGGAACAGACTCATACATGACGGAAATGACAAAGACACTTAAACCACTATTATAAATAATATGTTTAAAACGGTAGAAGAAAACAGGAACATAATGAGAAAAAAATAGATATAAAAAAATACCCTAATGAACTTGTAGACATTAAAAATACATTAGATGGAATTAAAAGAAGATTAGATACTATACAAGAAAGAATCAGTGAACATGAAGAAACTCCAAAATGAAGCAAATAAAGGAAAAGAAAAAACTGGAAAATAATGAACAAAGCATCAGTCTCCTGTGGGATAATAACAACCCACCTAAGGTATACGTAATCAAATCCCAGGACAAAGGCAGGAAGGGGGAAAGAGAAGGAACTGAAAAATCCTTTGAAAGAATAGTATGAGGAAAGTTTCCAAATTTGATAGAAACTATAACCCACAGATCCAATATTTCAACAAACCCCAAGCACAATAAACCAAAGAAAACCATGACAAGGCATATCAAAATCGAATTGCTGAAAACTAGAAAAAAAGATAAGTTATTAAAAGCAACCTGAGGGGTAAAAAAGACATATACAGAAGAACAAAGATAAGAATGGAGACTTTTTATCAGAAATTATGCAAGCCAGAAGAATTTAAAGTGCTGAAGGAAAAAACTGTCAACATAGAATTCTTTAACCAGTGAAAATATCTTTCAAAAAAAACTGAAAGAGAAATAATTTTTTCAGATAAACTAAAGCTAAGAGAATTTACTGCCCAGAGACCTAAACTTAAAGAAATGTTTAATGAATTTCTTCAGGCAGAAGAAAAACAATACTAGATGGAAAGCTAGATCTACAAAAAAGGGATGAAGTGGAAATGGTAAATATCTGGGTAAAAAAATACATTTTTCTCATTTTTTAAATATCTTTAAAATACAGTTGACTGTTTAAAGCAAAAAATAATAATATGTTATGGGGCTTAAATATATTTAGAATTAAAATGCATGGCAACAATAGCACAAAGAACAATAGATGGTATACTGAATGAATACTATTGTCAAGTCCTTATACTATATGTGAAATGGTATACAGCATACCTCGTTTTATTGTGGTTTGCTTTATTGCACTTCTCAGATATTGTGTTTTTTACAAATTGAAGGTTCGTGGCAACCTCATCTCAAGCAAGTCTACTGGCACCATTTTTCCAACAGCATGTGCTCATTTCATGTCTCTGTGTCACATTTTGGTTATTCTCACAATATTTCAAACTTTTTCATTATTATTATATATATTATGGTGATCTGTGACCAGTGACCTTTGACGTTACTATTGTAATTGTTTTGGGGTACCACAAACCACGCCCAGACAGCGAACTTAATCGATAAGTGTTGGTATGTTCTGACTGCTCCACCAACCAGCCATTCCCCATCCCTCTCCCTCTCCTCAGGCCTCCCTACTCCCTGAGACATGACAATATTGAAATTAGGCCAATTAATAACCCTACAATGGCCTCTAAGTGTTCAAGTGAAAGGAAGAGTCGCACATCTCTCACTTTAAGTCAAAAGCTACAAAGGATTAAGCTTTGTGAGGAAGGCATGTTGAAAGCTGAGACAGGCCAAAAGCTAGGGCTCTTGCACCACACAGCCAAGTTGTGAATGCAAAGGAAAAGTTCTTGAAGGAAAGTAAAAGTGGTACTCCAGTGAACATGTGAATGTTAAGAAAGCAAAACAGCCTTATTGTTGATATGGAGAAAGTTGTAGTGGTTTGGATAGAAGATCACACCAGCCACAACATTCCCTTAAGCCAAAGCCTAATCTAGAATGAGGTCCTGACTCTTTAGTTCTATGAAGCCTGAGATAGGTGAGGAAGCTGCAGAAGAAAAGTTTGAAGCTAGCAGGGTTTAGTTCCCAAGGTTTAAAGAAAGAAGCCATCTCCGTAGCATAGAAGTGCAAGGTGAAGCAGCAAGTGTTGATGTAGAAGTTGCAGCATGTTATCCAGAAGATCTGGCTAAGATAACTGATGAAGGTGACTATACTAAACAACACATTTTCAATGTAGACAAAACAGCCTTATATTGGAAGACAATGTCATCTAGGACTTTCATAGCTAGAGAGGAGAAATCAATGCCTCGCTTCAAAGTTTCAAAGGACAGGCTGACTCTCTTGTTAGGGGCTAATGCAGCTGGTGACTTTAAGTTGAAGTCAATGCTCATTTACCATTCTTAATATCCTAGGGCCCTTAAGAATTATGCTAAATCTACTCCGCCTGTGCTCTGTAAACAGAAAAACAGAGCCTGGATAACAGCACATCTGTTTACAACATGATTTACTAAATATTTTAAGCCCACTGTTGAGACCTACTACTCAGAAAAAAAAGATTCCTTTCAAAATATTACTGCTTGTTGACAATGCACCTGGTCACCCAAGAACTCTGATGGAGATGTATAAGGAGATTAATGTTGTTTTCACGCCTGCTAAGACAACACCCATTCTGCAGCTCATGGATCAAGGAGTAATTTCAACTTTCAAGTCTTATTATTTAAGAAATACATTTCATAAGGCTATAGCTGCCATAGATAGTGATTCCTCTGATGGATCTAGGCAAAGCAAATTGAAAACCTTCTGGAAAGGATTCACCTTCCTAGATGCCATTAAAAACATTCGCGATTCGTGGGAGGAGGTCAAAATATCAACATCAACAGGAGTTTGGAAGAAGTTGATTCCAGCCCTTGGGGATGACTTTGAGGAGTTCAAGACTTCAGTGGAGGAAGTAACTGCAGATGTAGTGGAAATAGCAAGAGAACTAGAATTAGAAGTGGAGCCTGAAGATGTGAATGAACTACTGAAATCTCATGATAAAACTTTAATGGATGAGGAGTTGTTTCTTAGGGATGAACAAAGAAAGTGGTTTCTTGAGATGGAATCTACCCCTGATGAAGATACTGTGAACACTGTTGAAATGACAACAAAGGATTTAGAATATTACATAAACTTAGTTGATAAAGCAGCAGCAGGGTTTGAGAGGACTGACTCCAGCTTTGAAAGAAGTTCTACTGTGGGTAAAATGCTAGCAAACAGTACTGCATGCTACAGAGAAATCTTTTGTGAAAGGAAGAGTCAATGTGGCAAATTTCATTGTTGTCTTATTTTAAGAAATTGCCACAGCCACCCCAACCTTCAGTAATCACCACCCTGATCAGTCAGCAGCCATCAACATCAAGGCAAGACCCTCCACTAGCAAAAAGATTACAACTCACTGAAGGCTCAGATGATGGTTAGCATTTTTTAGCAATAAAGTATTAAGATATAGACTAATGGACCACAACTATCACAGCCTCCACCAGACTGAGTCCAGTAAAACTAGATGGTGCCTGGCTACCACCACTGACTGCTCTGACAGGGATCACAACAGAGGGTCCCAGACAGAGCTGGAGAAAAATGTAGAACAAAATTCTAACTCACAAAAAAAAAAGACCAGACTTACTGGTCTGACAGACTGGAGAAACCCTGAGAGCATGGCCTCCAGACACCTTTTTAGCTCAGTACCAAAGTCACTCCTGAGGTTCACCTTTCAACCAAAGATTAGACAGGCCCATAAAACAAAACAAGACTAATGGGGCACAACAGCCCAGGCATAAGGACTAGAAGGCAGGAGGGGACGGGAAAGCTGTTAATACGACACCCAAGGTCAAGAAGGGAGAGTGTTGATGTCGTGGAGTTGTTAACCAATGTCATAAAACAATATGTGTACTAACTGTTCAATGAGAAACTATTTTTTCTGTAAACCTTCACCTAAAATACAATTTATACATTGTTTTTTAAGACATAATGCTACTGCACACTTAATAGACTACAGTATAGTGCAAACAGTACTTCTATATGCACTGGGAAACCAAAAAATTCATGTGACTCACTTTAACGCAGTGGCCTGAAACCAAACCTGCAATATATCTGAGGTATGCCTGTAATATTGTCTAAAAGTAGACTGTTGTTATGTAAATGAGTAAAAGATGGCCTTTGTGTATTGGTCCCTGGTTGTTCCTTTTTTCACAAAAGTCTGGTTTTCAACTCCAAACTCAAATTTTTAGGTATTTACAGCCTGTCTGCTTTGCATACCCCACAAAACTACGCCCAACATCTGCCAGACCTATATAAGATAAAACCCTGTAGTTATAAAGACCTCAAGGCCACTGCTGCCCTTTGGAGCTCTCTGCTGAGCCACATCACCTAGAAACACACATCCCTTTTTGCCTCCCCTCTCTTCCAGGAGCTCCCTTGCCCTCTTCCCCTTCTGGGTGGTGGCCCCCTACTCTGCTTGTCTTTGGAAGGTCTCCTGCTGTGAAAGACTTCCCTCACTTGCAAAACCTGTCCATGCACTGCCCAATAAACAGCTTATTCCACAACACTGCCATCTTGTGGTCATAACTTTTTCCTTGCTCAGCCCTGAAATCCTCAAATACAACACCCAACCAGATCATTAATTACATTAAATGTAAATAATCTAAACTCCAATTAAAAGGCAATGATTGTCAGGTTTGTTTAAAAATCTAGCCCCAGCTATACGTTGTCTACAAGAAACTTTGACTATAAAGCCTTTCAATGGCTCCCCATTATCTCTAGGATAAAAATCTAAGTTCCCTAAAAATGATATTCAAGGTACTCCATGGTTGGCTCCTGCCTGGCTTCCCACAACCCTGACTTGGACTTGATGCTCCAAGCACACTGAACTCATTATAGTCCCTACACATACGACGCAGTTGTTCACCTCTTAGACTCTGTTCAAGCCAGTATCTACTCTTAGAGTGTCCTTCCCTCAGCTCCCTTCACCCAGATAAATCCTGCTCATCATTCTGGATTTAGCCTTCTCTAAGTAGTCTTTCTTGATTTCTTCTCCCCAAGTTGGATTGGATGCCCCTTCTTTCCCATAATATCCTGTACATAACTCAGTAATTTTTCTTGACACAATATGTTATAATTATCTGTTTTCTGTCTATCTCCTGTAAGAGACTATGAAATCCTTGGGGTCACAGCAGCTACTTCATCATGCCTTCACTGTCTGAATGAATGTATGTATAAATGAATGAATGGGTTCTTGTCTACAGGCTGGTTCTTACGGTGCTAGTCAGATTAGCCTTAGTGATCATAAGGCATCCCCTGCATAACATTAAAATAACCTTCTCTTGAGAAGGATCAGAGTACCTAAAGAGGTACAGCCATCTGTCAAAAGACCTAGAAAGCAATCTTAACTCTCTGCCCTTTATTTAGAAGGAATGTGAATGCCAAGGAGCGGAAGAGGCCAGCCAACACGGAAAACTGAAGAAAAGGAGGACAGTGCTTCTTTTCACTGTCATTTTAAATTGTTCCAAAAAAATCAAGAAATCATTTTGTAACTGAGTGATGACAGTGTACTTTGTACCAGACAATGTCTTCCCAGGATGTTTATAAGTAGTGAAATGCAAATCAAGAAATAAATTATTTTACTGTCCGAGGAGTTTGAAAAGCAGAAATGACTGTTGCAGTTTTCAACATATTAAGCA